GTGTGTGTGTGTGTGTGTGTGTGTGTGTGTGTGTGTGGGCGCGTCTCTGTGTGGCGTGTGCAATTTAGGCCGCGAAGTGTGAGCCGAGCCCCCCGGCCACTGTTGGCTACTTCCTGGCTATGGGCTGGGACGGAGAGAAGCGGCCGGGGCCGGGGGCCACTGGACGAGAACGGACGGACGCGCGGACAGGTCCGCGGGGCGGTGCCGGGGGGGGGGAATGTTCTCGATCGCGGGGAAGATGGTGTCCACATCCGCACGCCCCCGGCGGGGCGCTGTCCGCCGAGGGCGGCTCGGCGTCACAGGGAGAAAGCCCTAGGCACTAGTCCGGGGACGGGCTCCAGAGAGGGGCGGTGCGGCTTGCACGACCAATCCAGGCGTCCTCCATTTTCGCCGGGCCAAGACAAGGGGGGGGGGGGGGGGCAGCACCCCAGGCTCCTGGCCGCCCCGGCCCCCGATGTCTCCCGGCGAGGTGTGTGGAATTGGCTGGATTTCCGCCCCCCCCCCCCCCCTCCCCCCCCCCCCCCTGTTTCCCACACGGGGGCTCATCCCGTTCCGCGGTGTGCCGCCCCGCGGGGGTGCCGGTCTGGCGGGGCCGTTGGGCGCCGTTCCGCTCCGGGCGGGGGGGGCGTCGGTGCCCCTTCCTCGTGCTTCCGTCCCGATGCGTACACTGTTGGCGGCGCTGTTTAGCTTGGTTGAGGTGTGTTTCTGGCTATGGGTGTGCCGTATTTCCGTTGCATACCGGCAATTTCTCCCCCCCCCCCCCCCCCCCCCCCCCCGCCCCCGGTATCCCCAAAGTGAGACCTCGAGTTTCGGGGGGGGTCCTGCGCGAAGGGCGATCCTCCGGCGGTAGTCTCGGGGGGACGTCCTCCGCAGGGCGGGGGGTTCCTTCTCTCCCTCGTCAAGTCCCAATATGCCGGCTGTATGTTGGTACGTGTATTTTTTCGAGCATTAGTCTTCGGACATGTCCACCGGGCGATGATGGACCGATCCTGCGTCCGGAAAGCGGGTCCCCGACGTGCGCACATCATTTGACCCCCGGGTCGCCCGGACGCAACTGTGTGCTCCGCACATGGGGCGTGATGCTTCTCGGTGGTTCCTGGTGTCCCCGGCGGGCGGTGCTCGGGTGATCTCTTTTCGAGATTACCCGCCGGCTTGAGCCTTCCTCGTCCCCAGGCGCGCCTGGCGGGGGGGGGGGGGGGGGGGGGGGGGGGGGGGGGCCCCCCCCCCCCCCCCCCCCCCCCCCCCCCCCCCCCCCCCCCCCCGGGCCCGGGCCCCCTTTTTTTTTTGTGGGGTTTTTTTCCCCACTTTTCACACCCTTTTGGGTGTTTCCCCCCCCCCCCCCCCCCCCCCCCCCCCCCCCCCCCCCCCCCCCCCACCGGGCGGGGGCGGCCCCACACGGCGAGGAGCGTGAGTGTGGGTGAGTGTAGGTGAAAGAGTCGGGCGGGATAGGGGATGTGGGGCGCCGGGGAACCGAAAGGATTTCCGCCCCCCCCCCGCGCGGGGCGGGGGGGGGGGGGGCGGGGGGGGGGGGGGCCGGCCCCCCCGCCAAACGGGGGGGGGGGGGGGGGGGGGGGAGGAGACCATGTTGCAACCGAAAACAAAACCGCCCCCACGCAGGGCAGCGTGCCCTCCTGAGTCATCAGAAGAAAGGCTCGGACCCGCTCGCCGGGCATTGATCGGTGGTAGACCGACGCGCACGAGAACGGGCCAACGCGCGCATATGTGTGTGTGTGTGTGTGTGTGTGTGTGCGTGTGTGTGTGCGTGGACGGGTGCCCCGGCGCCGGCGCTCGCACTCCTCCGGCCCATGGGCGCGTCGCTTTTCGTGC